TAGTCCCGGATGAATCGGCGATAGAAATTAGCAAATCCCAGGAACTGCTGCAGCTTCTTTCGTGAGGCGGGTACTGGCCATTCAGTTACCGCCTTTACCTTTTCAGGGTCCTTTCTCACTTGCCCCTCCTCAATGAAAACGCCAAGGAACTGCACGGAGGAGACGTGGAATTCACACTTCTCAGCTTTAACGAATAGCTGATTCTCCAGCAGTCGCTGCAGAACCTGCCGGACATGGTTAACGTGCTCCTGGGGATTCGGAGAGAAGATGAGAATGTCATCAATGTACACAAACACGAATCGGTTTAGGAAGTCACGTAGCACATCATTAACCAGTGCCTGAAAAACTGCCGGGGCATTGGTTAATCCAAACGGCATCACCAGGTATTCAAAGTGTCCCAACGGTGTGTTAAAGGCAGTCTTCCATTCGTCCCCCTCTCTGATGCGCACCAGATGATACGCATTGCGGAGGTCCAGTTTCGTGAATATCTTTGCTTCAGCTAGGGACCCAAAAACAGAGGAGATAAGTGGTAATGGATATTTATTCTTGATAGTAATCTGATTCAAACCTCTGTAATCAATGCAGGGACGGAGGGTCTTGTCCTTCTTGGAGACGAAGAAGAAACCCGCTCCCACAGGGGAAGATGAGGGACGTATGATCCCTGCGGCAACAGAGTCTGTAATATATTTCTCCATGGATTCGCGCTCAGGACGGGAGAGATTATATAGCCGGCTCGTAGGTAGTGGGGCTCCCGGAAGCAAGTCAATAGCACAATCATAGGGGCGATGAGGAGGAAGTGAAACCGCCCGCTCCACGCTAAATACCTCTGCTAGGTCCCTGTATTCCTTGGGCACCGCCGAGAGACTAGGGCCAGTGTCAGGTCTGCCTGAGGGAAGAACCTGATGGGGAACTGCAGACCGGAGGCAGCGGGAGTGGCAAGTGGAACTCCAGCCTGTGATCCTGCTCCTCGCCCAATCAATCTGTGGATTATGATCCCTGAGCCAGGGGAGGCCCAGGACCAGCGGTATTTGGGGGGAAGGGAAAACATAGAACTGTGTCTCCTGACGATGATTCCCAGACACGATTAGAGAGATGGGTAGAGTTCGGTGTGTTATCTCAGCCAGAGAACTGCCATCCAGTGCCCTCACCAGCTGAGCTCGTTCTAATGCCTCCACAGGGATGCCTCTCTGCTTAATAAAAGTTGTGTCCAAAAAGTTCTGTTCAGCCCCGGAGTCAATAAGTGCGGGCAGGTGCACCGGACCAGATGAAAGATACAGGGTGACAGGAAACACAGATTGAGGCTTGGCATGAGGGACTCTCTCTGAAACGCTCGCCAGCACCCCCACTCTTACCGGCGAGCTCTCTCTTTTGGCCGAACAGGGCAGACGGCCATACGATGTCCTAACCGCCCACAGTAAAGGCAGCCTCCGGAGCGAAAACGCCGCTCTCTGTCCTCTGGGGAGAGATGGGCCTGGCCCAGCTGCATTGGCTCCTCTGGCTCCAATGCAGGAGGTCCTGGGGCGGGAGAGAGGCGACGTGCAGAGCTGTATCGTTGGAACGGGCTCGTCGGCGGAAAACTGGAGACTGAGGTTGACTGCCGAGCAGTGGTGGGGGGCCAGTAGGTCCTCTCCCGACGGCGCTCCCGGATATGGTTGTCCATGTTGATGGAGAGTGTGAGAAGCTCCTCTAATGTCTCTGGCATCTCCCGGACCGCAAGCTCGTCCTTCAACAGCTCCGAAAGACTGTTGCGGTAAATCCCCTTTAGCGCCTCCTCGCCCCAACCGGACTCAGTGGCCAGGATCTGGAAATCCACAGCATACTCTGCGGCGCTGGTCGCCCCCTGGCGAAGACTGAGCAGGCGCTGAACCACATCCCTAGCGTAAACCGGGTGGTTGAACACCCTCTTGAACTCCTCTATGAAGAACAGGTAGGTGACCCGGTCTGCACTGCGTCTGCTGAGCCATGCTTCAGCCCAAACCAGTGCCTTGCCACGCAGCAACCCCACAGTATAGGCCACCCTTGCATTGTCTGAAGAAAAAGTGCGGGGTTGCTGGTTAAAAACAAATCCACACTGTAGCAGGAATCCTCTGCACTCTCCAGACACTCCATCAAAAGGCACTGGTGAGGGGACAAAAGACTCACGGATGCTGGACAAGTCCACAGGAACAGTCTCTGGGGGGGGTGAACGGTGGAGCACCAGGCTCTGCATCATGCTGGCCATCTCGGTTATTTGAGCCCCGAGGGTATGTTGGGAGTCCCGTAGCTCTTGCAGCACCTGCTGGTGTTGCCCGAGAAGGGTGCCATGGCTGGAAATCGCCCTCCGAAGGGGTTCCTCTGGAGGGGATGCTGCTGCGGCGGCTGGGTCCATTGCTGGTCAGTCCGTTCTGTTAGGGTGGGGGGTGAGGTGAATTTGGTGGGCCCAAAAGCACACGCACGGCAGTCTTGGATCTTCAGCCAAAATTAGTTTTATTTTCTCACAAAAACAAACAAGGGGAACAAGGGAAACAGAAAAGGCGCTCCTCTGACTCAACTGGAGTCGGGAGGGAAACTCCACCGACGTCTGGCGGTCTGGGGTGGCTCAAACAGGGTCTGGTGTGGATACCCGAGGCCCGACACCAGATTCACAGTCCAACTCGAAAAAAAAGGGCAGGTTACGTGCACTCCGAGGTACTCCGTGGATCTGACACCAAAACAAACCAAAAACATGAATCAACTGGTCTAGCTGCTGAATCTAAGTATCTACGGCACCTGAGACCAGCCTGGGTACTGGGGACGGACTGACGACGAGCCTCAGACAGCAGGAGCCTTTATACTCGTCACCAGTGATCCCCGGAATGAGCCACAGCTGGGCACGTGGGAGAGGGGTGGGGCCGGAGGCGGAACACACAGGTGGAAACTATAGGTGGAAGAAACAAAACAAGCAAAAACAAAAGCACAGACTGGGGGGGAAAAACTGTTAATAAAACCGGGTCCCTAACAATGTTTGTTTCACAGAGGACACAACCATCGGTCATAAGGTCATAAGACTCCTGGAGCATTTCCTCTAAGAAGGAGGTGGATTGGTTTACATCGTAGTTACTTGAAACCCATCTTTTCCCTAAAAAGATGTTTTAGGGTTGCTTGTAATGGTAAATGGTCTGTACTTGTATAGCGCTTTTCTAGTCTTCCGACCACTCAAAGCGCTTTAACACTACATGACATAACATTCATACACTGTTGTCACAGCTACAGGAGCAACGTTGGGTTAAGTGTCTTGCCCAAGGACACAACGACATGCGGGTTAGTCGAGCCTGGGATCGAACCGACAACCCTCTGATTGGAGGACGACCGTGCTCCCCACTCACCCACAGTCGCGTTGTGCGTTGCTATCGGATGCCGAGGGCCGCGACTAAGCGTCGATATTTGACACCCTGAGAATACGATTGTACTGACGATGCCTAGAGCCATCTCTGCGACCATAGATCAACACGTACAACGTAAAATAAAGAAGCATTTGGTCATTGTTTCCCCCTCATCGTCTTCTTCTAACATTTTGCAGAGTCCCTTTCACAGAGTGAGCAAGTTGTTGAAGGGAAAGCAAATGATTAGGCACCAGTTCCTTAAACAGCACATCTCTCATGGTTAGGTGCTTTTTAACAGATAAACCATGTTTTCAAGCAAGCGGTGCAAGCTTTAAAACTGTAGCCAATCCAGGGTTTCATGTGGGTTGCTTGGATTTTTTAATAGATTTTTAATAGACAGGATCTTTACTTTGCTTTTGCTGGGGTCAAAGTCCCACACGTTATACGCAGTGCTAGAACATCCCAGTAGGAATCATCACACAAAGGACAGGCGTTCACGCGGCTACAGGAGGTGTCGACAAATGACTGTGAGGGCAGTCGCTTAGATCCATGAGTAGCTTTTTACATATAATACTTAATGAGACGTGTGTCATCTGTCCAGGTGGTGAACGGGCTTTTTGCAGCACGCAAAGGACTCAGTGCTTAGCCAAATAACCTCCACCTCCAAAATCTCCACCACCGCCCATGCCTATGATGCGTAGCCTCCCCCATCTGTCAGGCTAGTTTCCAGCGGCCTTCCCTAAAGTGAACATTTATTTTCAAATCTATGTGGCTTCACCCTCTGCATCCATCTGTCGCACAGGCAACAGGGGAATAACAACAGCAACACCAACAGGGCACCTACTGCTTGTACCAATTTGTTCTAGGAACATCTGACCTCTGCATCACCTCACGTTCCTTTTTGAATTAGAATGCACCGAGAGTGCATGTGTAACTTTTGCTTACAGCGTACTGCTTATACTTTCCCAGTTCTCAATGTTAGAGAGGGATGGAGTCCAAAGAGCTCATTAAGAAACCAGTGGGTGCATTATTATTGCTAATAATGCACAGCAGCAGCAGGTTCAACCGTTACACATAGTAGTCCGCTTTTACATGTGTAAAAGGTTGGTGAATGTACTTGTGTTGTGCCTCTCTAGTATTACGGCCAATCAAAGCGCAAACGCTCACACACGTTGAACCGTCAATTCTTCAAATTAGAGGAAAAGCCTGCTCTAATGAAAGAACTACCGCATATAGTAAGTTATATGAAGCCCTTAGTATCTCCAGGGAGCTGCTTTATGACTGGTAAATGTAAGTGATGTCACTTGAGTCATTGTCGGTTTGGTCTGTTCATATTTTTGCTATTCTATTTATTTGACAGTTACAACAGTGCTAGTATGCAATCTCGCTATTAACCTTGTTATCACATCGCAGCAATCTGTTAGATTGGACCAGGACGTTTGGTTTATGCGGAAATACACTTAGTTAGTTGGTAACAGGGGCATCAAAATGCTTCAGAGTCATCCCCCTTTGAGGATCATGGATGTCTCTACCAATATGGGGAATGAATTTTTAGACAGATGATCAGAAAACCAACATAACCAAGCCAATCAGTTGTGTTAACCTATCCCATGGTTATTTCTTATAAATAAAAAGGCTTGGTTGTGCATCTCTGTGCAGGTGAAATGTGACCAGTATTGGCCCAGTCGAGGCACAGAGACCTATGGGATGATCCAGGTGACCATGCTGGACACTGTGGACCTGGCTACGTACAGCGTACGCACGTTTGCCCTCTACAAGGTGAGAACTCATATGGTATACTGACTGTATTTGTTCAGAAGACTTTGAATGCAACACAAATCCTAATGGCATTGGTCATTTACCTCGTATTATTTGTGATTTCATCTGTTAGTTACCGTTGATGCATTTATGTTAATAGCAGCTGATGGCCACATTATCAAAATTATCATTTACTGTTTGAAGAACCACAGTTTTTATAATGGAAACAGGGTGTGTTAAATGACTTAAAATACAATTAGGCAACAACCCAATCAACAATAGAATAACTCCTGTGCCACAAGGCTTATATCAATCGGATCCCCTTTGAAAAGGTAAGAAGCTGAGGAATATGATTCCTTCGTTGGCAAACAGTGATATTACCATAAACCCTAAACACATGATTACGAAATGTTAATATCAGTTTTAAACTGCGTCTGGCGGACAGGTGCTCTCGGGTTGATTGTATCTGTCCTCCAACAGAATGGCTCGAGTGAGAAGAGAGAGGTTCGACAGTTCCAGTTCATGGCCTGGCCCGACCATGGAGTGCCTGAGTATCCCACCCCAACACTGGCCTTCCTACGCAGAGTCAAGGCGTGTAATCCTCCAGACGCTGGACCCATGGTGGTCCACTGCAGGTAAACTTCCTCACAGGGAAACACAGGGGACTTCTTGTAGGTAGGTTTCAGGGCAATCACTGGCTACACACATTGTGTGGTATTTGGATGTTAACACAGTGTTTAACCACAACTGGCTGGAAGTGAAAATGACCAGGAACCCTGTATGGTGCTGGTGGTGAGCTTCCGTTTTCTCTACCGAGGGGATGGGGGGGGGGTGTGGGGGAGGTGGAGACGGTGCTTTCAGGGTCCGATCGATGCTGCGAGGTGCGTCCGCTCCCGCCGCCCCCCTCGCCATCCACGCCTTAAATCTTCGGCTGCTCTCCAGCCACGCCGCCTGCCAAAGGCTCCTTTTAGAATAACTTATTTTCCCCGTTAAGATGGTTCAGCTACTGTCGAGAAAAGGGCGCCGTCTCTCGCTCTTTAATCGCTCGGCGAGAACGACAGCTTTGTTTTTCCGACGCGCCCTGAAAGCAGCTCCATATCTCACGCGCTTGAGCGCCGCTCAGCATCTCGCCGTCGTAGACGAGCTTTGGCGTGTTTGGCAGAGCGCCTTGAGCGCCGTGTACAACCAGTATGGATCAACCGATTAACCAATTGATCCATATATATAAGGCGCTCCGGATTATAAGGCACTGTCGGTTTTTGAGAAAATTAAAGGCTTTTAAGTGCGCTTTTAAGTGCGCTTTTAAGTGCGCTTTTAAGTGCGCTTTTAAGTGCGCTTTTAAGTGCGCTTTTAAGTGCGCCTTTAAGTGCGGAAAATACGGTAAATAAAATAGAAAAGAGACTACATACTTTGTTTGTACTCTTTAATATCATTGACAGTAATTAATCAAGTAATTGGTTATTACAGCCCTAAATCCGTAAAATTGTTGTTTGTACATGGCGTGTTGCACATCCACGATTACCAACGGGTCCATGAAGCTTTCCACCAAACACATCAAAAAAGTAACATTGTGCTCCTTCCATGCTGTTTCAGAGACCCTCACACGGCTTCTTCTGTGTAGCGAGGTCAGTGTGATCTGCAGCTCATGAAGGGCTGAGGATATACACGGAATCACTATACAACATGGCTCTGGTGACAGTTTGTAAGTGTAGACAAACGTTTACGTTTAAAAAGGGACACCATTGAATTTTCCTTACGTTGGTCTCAATGACGTTACAGGTGGATTTATATCGATAAATAGTATTAATTTATTGTCATTAAATTGAAACTGTTGGCTCGTTGTATTCTCAAAATGTTCTGAACAAAGCATCACATGCAGGCCGTGTTTTGAATGTGCGTTTAAAGCAGTGGCATAATGTTTAGCTCCATTTAAACAGGTTTTAATGAATTGATGCTGTAGACCGAGGATGTGAAAGTAAAACATGCGCTGACTCAACAGAGATTACATCAAATGAGAAACGTTGATCTGCGGGCGAATAAATATTTGAAGGCACTGCAGAAAGAAAACACATCGCAACGCTCAACATCTCTTTAATCCACAACAAAAGGTTTGAAGAAGCAGCTAACAAGGACAATATGAAAAAGAATGAAGAAAAATAGCACCCTTTTTTAATTTATTTAAATAACTCTGCACTGAGATTGTTATGGTCTTGCTTATGGTTTCGATCTCATTTCAGTGCCGGACACAAAATTCATTTTGTAACATTTGTTTTTAACTGTTAGAAGTGGAAGTGCAAATATTGTTTGACTGTATGTAATTAATTTGGGCCACAAGACAGATTAGTTGTTACCAAGGCTTTACTAATAAATGCTAAATAGTAGCATGCTTTGTCTTGGTCCTCCGTCAGTGCCGGCGTGGGCCGCACAGGCTGCTTCATCGTGATCGAAGCCATGCTGGAGCGGATGAAACACGAGAAGTCGGTGGACATTTATGGTCATGTGACCTGCATGCGGGCTCAGCGGAACTACATGGTGCAGACGGAGGACCAGTACATATTCATCCACGAGGCCCTGCTGGAAGCTGCCACATGTGGCAACACGGAGGTTCCCGCCCGAAACCTGTACGCCCACATCCAGAAGCTGGCCCAGACCTCCCCTGGCGAGACCGCCACCGCCATGGAGCTGGAGTTTAAGGTCTGTGGGGCGTTCTGTTTTTTTTATTTGTTTTGTGCGTGCCAAGTTTGTGAAGCTTTCCAAGCCCATTTGAACTCCAATCACGATGTGATGTTGACGTTTGTCTCGCCTGAATTTATTGTGATTGACAGACTTTATGAAGCCACCTGGCATTATGGAACCAAACGGTTGTTTAGGCCATTGTAAAATGAAAATGACAAATATTAAAAAACAACAACAATGCAATCCAAGAGCAAGTGCAGATGTGTGCATTCTTGGTACAACATCCATTTCCATCATTTGATTGTAATGCCTCCACGTCGGCAGAGGCATTACATTATTTCATATGTTCGTGCGTCCAGTTGATTCTCATAAATGCGATATCTAAGATACAGGACAAGGCATGCCACAACCTGAATAAAGCTGCTTGTTGGAGCAAGCCGAGTAAATCCGGACTGAGGATAATGAGGTTTTGATCTTCTACTCACTGCGAATTTCTTTCGTGAGCACTTCTCAGATTGACTCCTGGCCTCGCAGAGGAATCACGTTATAGCGCATCAGCAAAGAGAAAAAACAATTGGGTTTGTTTCTGTCAGACGTTTTATTGCCCTCGGCTTGATACGCACTGTGGACCCTTCTCTACGTCGGCTCTGGACAGATGTCTGTGAGGTCATTCCGACGTTTCAGTGCCCCATCGAGGTCAGAGAGAGGATCAGCTCAGTGAATCATCGCCATTTATCGATACGCGTGGCCTTTAACGGCCTTGCTGACACGCTACACACATATTAGCGATTTGGGGTGGAGCATCACAAACCCCATTGTCCTCCTCTTTGCATCCACAGAAACTGGCCAGCTGTAAAGCACATACCTCAAGATTCATCAGTGCCAACCTGCCTTGCAACAAGTTCAAGAACCGCCTGGTGAACATCATGCCTTTCGAGTCCACCCGCGTCTGCCTGCAGCCGATCAGAGGGGTGGAGGGCTCCGACTACATCAACGGCAGCTTCATCGACGGATACAGGTGAATCCATTAGGGACACTGTGGAGGAAGGCAGAGCTACTGTCAACCAGGAGCTGCAGTCTCTAATGAACGGAGAGGTGGACCTTTACTCTGGCAGCTGACAGCAGTTTCACCGCCTCCCATTTTTTCCTTGTGTCTGCTGTCAACACAAATGGATCTTATTGACAGGCTTGTTAATTCTCTCCTGTTTTTTCCCTCTTGTGTAAATGGATGCCCTGTTGGAGATAGCTGACAGGCCGGAGAAACAAACAGACTGTTGCAGGCCTGCTGCTGTCCGTGTCCTCCGGAGTTTTTCAATCAACATTTTCTTTTACATTTTGCATTACGATGCAAAGAGTAAACTTTTTTTATTATTATTTTTTCTGACAGTGTCAAGAAATATTCTTGCCCATATTCACTCTCTTTTAAAGAGTGTAACGAGGTGTGACGTCTGTAGTTTTCAGTATGTACAACAGATGGTTAGCCTAGCTTAGCATCAAGATCGTGAACCAAAAGTTAAAAGAACAATCCTCCAGGGCTGGATATTGTTTCAGAATTGACATACCAGTATACTAGTATACTATACCAGTGATAGTAATACCAATAGATCACCCCATCATGATGGGTATCCAATGAAGCTGTGTGTGTGTGGCACTGCTAGATGAACCCCACTGCACTGCCCGCCCTCACACAGCGGTTACTGCTGTTGAACTGGTTTGGGATGAGTTTGTTGTGGAAGCATAACTCATAAGAATATGACAATGCTCTTGCATGAGTTCCATCGTCCGTCCAGTGTCAGTGCTATACAATACACATAATCATATGTCACAATAAGTACAGGTACAAATGTAAGTAGGGGCATTTGAGTTGAGATGTAGCTGTTGCATTGGCATGGAAGCCCGACTTTCCTTGGCTCTCTGTAAAGCGATCCTTCAACATGTTATTGTCCTCTAAAAACTGGATTATAAAATGTCTTGTGTGTGTGTGTTGACGCAGCAGCTGTATACATAGAGGCAAAGGCAGTCTGCCTGATTTTCCAACTCAAACATTTATATTTGACCAGCACTGGTTATGTCATATGTCCGATAAATAGCCAATCAAAGGTATCTCAGAGAAGCATGGCGTTTATGGAAATGTAACCCCTAACTGGAAGTGTGTGCTAATGGAGCAGGACCTTTCCTTGCAGTGAGGGTGGGCGGGTCTTGTTAACGGCTGTCAGCCCTAATGAAGTCCCCCGGGCACTTCCACCTGAGGGAGGGTTGGGGAAGAGTGTCTTGTAATTCCTGTTGCAGTAATTAATAGCGGGGTGAGATACCGGGAGCTTTAGCTCCGCCTTCAAAGTGGATTAGGATGGATTACGGTGGAGAGGAAAAGACATGATGAGGGTAATTAGTTGAGGTGTCCAGTGACTTCAAGTTTTATCAGCTGTAGTCTTTCACGTCAGAGCCTTTTCATGGGGTTTTCTGTCCGAGGGGATACAGGCCTGCACCAGGATATTAAATACCACTAAGTTAGAGAATAATAAAATACAATGAAATTCTTATGATCTTATGACAGCGGCCTGCCATGGCTTGGTATGTTATTTAAATTCAACCTTAAATCTTGATTTAAGTATCCATGCAATGTTGGTACTAGTCCTTCTTTGCAAGTTCAGTTATTATAATAGATCAGAGTTCAATTTTGTGTTTTGTAAACGCTCCCAAAGTTTCCCAAAGAAATGCCAAAGTTTTCTTTTTCAACATTTTCTCAAAATCAATTTAAACACAGTAGACTTGCAGTTGTCTCTTAGATCTATGCATCTACTTCTGTAAGTACTTTAATATTAATGACGGATAGGAATAATGTACAATTATACTTTCTTATGTACAACAACTCAGCACTGCTACCTACGCGGACAGTAAATACAGGTTATTGTATCCTAGATGTCTTACTATTTTCAATAAATTGTATGTGCAGATATAATACAACGAAGAAGTGACTCTACTAACCGGTGTTGACTGGATCAAAGCTTGGTCTAAAAACTATTTAGAGCGCACAAAAGAGGTGTCCACTAACTACAGTTGGGGTTTTGATCCCTGGAAAAGTGTCCTTGAGCAAGACACACCACTCCAAGTTGCCCCCATTGGGAAGGCCTGTGCATTGTGGCCCCAGTGAAAGAATTCTAAAGAGCAGTCCATGTATTATTACCACACACAGTATTATATCTTCACTCAATCCCAAATACACCGTCATGCTGCCACAAAAGCACAAAATGTTAATTAATCCGGTGAAAGAATGACTCTACTTGTCTTTTGAGTTCATGGTCTCAATCTCTAGTTTCAAGTCTTTTTCAATACAGCATGATGCACATTTAAAGTCAAATAGGCCATAAGGGAGGGTTTGCTTCAGGACGGGCTTACTGTGATTGACAGGTTTCTGGCGCCTTCACAGCCTCATCTCATTAGGTCACTGCATTGCCAAAATGGTCACAGGAAGTGGCCATTTTGGCTGTAAAAGGCTATGGTAGCAACAGTGAACATGTATTTTTTTAATTCTTGTGCAGCCAAACTGTTTGTTTGCGTAAATGCAGAGATCAGCACATGGTATATTCGCCCTTTGACATGTGAACGTGAAACTGCACCAGTTAAATCTGTCAGTAGCTGTACAGCCAGAATGCAGCAACACGCACAAGCTGTGACTCCTACGTTTGCATATGTTTGCAGTATTATGAAGTATTCAAATAATAGTTGTAGTACTTGTTGCACCGAGGTAAAGCTGAGAGGAGGACAGGGCGGACTCGCTACCCAAAACAACGGTGCCTCAAGACATCACTGGCACACACACCGAACACACACACACACACACACACACACACACACACTAAACGCGAAAGCACTGCTGTATATTGCATTACTGCACCAACAAGCTTGAGAGAATTACCCAAGCTCCTCGGCTGCACGCTTCAACACTGGCTGCACGCTTCAACACTGCCCCCTAGTGGATGGGTCCCGTAACAACCGCAGGGCCCGGAGCCTTGGCTCGGCAGCCGGGACGGCATCTGTACTATTAACAGTGCTGTTAAAAAAGGTCTGTGTTCAAGCAGGACCATTTAGGCATGAGTGCAGCTAATCCACGTTAAGGGGTGTGTAACATGTATTTGACACTTGAGAGGTTTGTGCAACAGCTGTGGGAGCTCTAAAGGAACGCTGGATATAAAATACTTCAGAGCTCAGCTAACGCTCATGTATTCAACACGTTTGATAGGGCTCAACAATTCAAATAATGCAAGTTAGTTGCATTAGTTTAGTTTTTTTCAATAAAATGTCATAGATCCATGGAAACGGAGAACAATTGTAATGCCCTCTCATTTGGATTATTTTTTTCTTCTTTCATCATTTTTCTTCTCGGTGCTTCTTTTTTGACCACTTGAAAATTCTCAATTGACTGGTTGAATAGTTATTCAACTTTCTTATTTAGTTAGTTTATACGGTGCGTATGACTCATTTTGGTACTCTGGTGTATTCTGCTGCATTCATTAAATGACGGGCACTTGTGTGCACTAGACTAGTACACATTCTCTAGCATTGTGTCGACTCGCTCGTCACTGATTCTTTGTAGTCAATCAATCAATGTATGAGGCCATTTCCGTCGCTGTCAAACCCGGCAATACCCACCGAAAAAAACAGCTGGTCCATAAAGCATGCGTGTCCATTCTCCAACAGACTCCTTCAGCTCCGCTGTCACAAGGACCGATACAGGAGATCATTCCTGCCCAGTGCAATAACACTTTACAATAAATCATCCCTGGCTAAATAATGACAATAATACCCCTGTACTGCTGTGATGTTGCTGCTCTTCCTCTTCCTCTTCTCCTTTTACAAATTATTATTATTGTCTCTTTTGGAAGATTATTCTTTTGTTTCAGTTTTAGTTTATTTAATTTAATTTAATAATTTAATATTTCTATTTTATTATATTGTATATAATGTGTATCTTTTTATTCTATTTTATTCCCTGTACATGCTGCTGTGATACCAAAATGTCCCTCTTGAGGATCCATAAAGTATCTATCTATCTATCTAAAACTATATTCAAACAAAAGTTTATAATACGACCTCAGGTCACAACTAACCACAGCATCATTATTTCAACACCCGGGGAGTAAACTCAGACGTGTCTCTCTGTTCCTCTTTGCAGGCAGCAAAAAGCATACATGGCCACCCAGGGACCGTTAGCTGAGACCACAGAGGACTTCTGGAGGATGCTGTGGGAACACAACTCCACCATCGTGGTCATGCTCACCAAACTGCGCGAGATGGGACGGGTAATGGTCCCACTTTGTGGCATGTCAAATATTGTTAAGCGTGGAACATTATCATATGTAATGGATTCATTGTTATCATTATTGTCTATTTTCTGTATTATTGTCTATATCGATATATAGATTATATATATTCAATTTTGGCCGTATTGTGTTTTTTTTCTTACAAAAAGGGTTCTTTTGCTGGAAAGAGATTGTTAATGTAATCTTTGCTCACAAAGAACCCTTGAAAACCCCTTTCTTGAAAAAAAGTTCAGAAGCAGATCTTTCTGGATAGAATCTCAGCCTTTTTTTCTAAATAAGCAGGTCAATCAAGCAGCTAATTAAATCTGACCCTTTCTTCCCTGGACCCCAAGTTCCCCAACAGGGACCAGATATATTGGTCTACACGTTATAAAACACGCTTCTCCGTTCATCAGGAAAAGTGCCACCAGTACTGGCCCGCCGAGCGCTCTGCACGCTACCAGTACTTTGTCGTGGACCCCATGGCTGAGTACAACATGCCTCAGTACATCCTGAGGGAGTTCAAAGTCACAGACGCCAGGGTAGGTGGCGCTTTTAATTTGAAACATGATAACATGATCTGTGCATGTCAGAGGTTTCTTCTTCCACCTATTTCTAGCAAGTTTCTTGCCTCACGCATGACCTGTGCCCCTGGGAGCTCTGGGGCTGCGCGTGTTTCCTTTTGCGATTCCCGGAGCTCTTTCACCAGAGATGAGCTCTTGAACATCCGTGGAACAACTCCAGCGGAGTTACTGCCAACTTTACGGCTATCTTCCGTGGATTCCGAGGAATTACCGGTCTAGTCAAAGGTGCGCTCACCTTTCGTCACGCGGTGAGACGCCGTAGGAGAGGAAAACGGGCCGCCTCGCTGGTGAGACTCCGCAAGCGTGGTTCTCGCACTCCGCTGACAGGCATCTTTCTCTCTAACGTGCGCTCACTGTGCAACAAACTGGACGAAATTCAGCTGCTGGTGAGGAGAGACAGAGACTTTTCTACATCCTCCGTTTTGTGCTTCACGGAGACGTGGCTCTGCGGATCGATATCGGACTCCGCGCTCCAGCTGGCGGGCTTCCAGCTACTCCGAGCGACGGAGGGTGGAGACGCCTCTTCATCTATATCACCTTCCTCTCCCCCACCAGCAACGACCCTCTCTATTTTGGAGAGAGACGTTAACCGGCTCTTTAAAAGACAAAATCCCCGTAAGGCAGCCGGCCCGGACTCCGTTTCCCCTCACACCCTGAAGCATTGTGCCGACCAGCTGTCTCTGGTGTTCACTGACATCTTCAACACCTCCCTAGAGACATGCCACGTACCAGCCTGCTTCAAGGCCTCCACCATCATCCCTGTTCCCAAGAAGCCCAGGATCACAGGACTCAATGACTACAGGCCCGTCGCCCTGACCTCTGTAGTCATGAAGTCTTTTGAACGGCTAGTCCTGTCCCACCTGAAGACCCTCACCGACCCCCTCCTGGACCCTCTGCAGTTCGCCTACAGAGCCAACAGGTCGGACGATGCTGTCAATATGGCCCTCCACTACATCCTCCAGCATCTGGACTCCCCAGGAACCTACGCCAGGATCCTGTTTGTGGACTTCAGCTCTGCCTTCAACACCATCATCCCGTCTCTGCTGCAGGACAAACTCTCCCAGCTGCACGAGCCGGACTCCACCTGCAAGTGGATCACAGACTTCCTGTCTGACAGGAAGCAGCATGTGAAGCTGGGGAAACATGTCTCAGCCTCTCGGACCATCAGCACCGGTTCCCCCCCAAGGCTGCGTTCTTTCCCCTCTGCTCTTCTCCCTGTACACCAACAGCTGCTCCTCCAGCCACCAGTCAGTCAAGCTCCTGAAGTTTGCGGATGACACCACCCTCATTGGACTGATCTCGGGTGGGGATGAGTCCGCCTACAGTTGGGAGTCTGACCATCTGGTCACCCAGGACCTCAAGTGGGAGCTGAACATCAGCTCCATCACCAAGAAGGCTCAGCAGAGGTTGTTCTTCCTGAGGCAGCTGAAGAAATTCAACCTGCCAAAGACGATGATGGTCCACTTTTACACGACCATCATCGAGTCCATCCTCTGCTCCTCCATCACTGTCTGGTACGCTGCAGCCACAGCCAAGGACAAGGGCAGGCTGCAGCGTGTCATCCGCTCTGCAGAGAGGGTGATCGGCTGCAATCTGCCGTCCCTGCAGGACTTGTTAGCTTCCAGGTCTCTGAAGCGAGCTAAAAAGATTGCGGCCGACCCCTCTCACCCCGGACAAAACCTGTTTGTGCCCCTTCCATCTGGCAGGAGGCTGAGGTCCATCAGGACTAGGACCTCCCGCCACACGAACAGTTTCTTCCCGTCGGCAGTCGGGCCCATCAACAGAGCCGGACTATGACTATGACATTCCACCGGTCACTTTCCTGCACATGTCACTTTAACTGTAATTTTTCATTCGTCACTTTGTCGTCACTCGTCACTTTGTTGTCACTCGTCACTTTGTCACAATTTTTTTTATTTTTAACTCTATTCTCTTATTTTATACTAACCCATAGCCTTATTCTACTAACCCATTGCATTAGCATTGCATTTCATTTCATTTTATTACTTGTGCACTGCTGTCTTGTTGTCTATTGTCTGTTTTGTGTCTACTGTCACGCACTAACCGCCAAGACAAATTCCTTGTATGTTTGACATATTTTGGCAATAAATGTTTCCTGATTTAAATATAAACTTGTTTATAAAAGTGTTAAAGGTAGATAAGAGACATGATACTTTGTAGAACGGTGCACTTGCCGATAGGTGAGATCAGAAGACATCTACATAAATATGTCAAAGCTGCACAACAGATTCACAAATGGTTTAAAATGGAGAAAAAAGCCTTTTCAACAGCCATCATTTTCTATTGCCCACTCAGGTGCATAATGCGACTGAACACATTCCTCAATTAACTTTGGCAACTACAAGCAAATTATTACAGTACATGAAAATCAGCCAATTACATTGCAGCATGCCACGGCCAGTCACTCCTGCCTGGCGACCTGCCAAACGCACCCCCCAAAAAAAAGAAATAGGGTTGTTTTAGGGCTGGGCGGTACACCGGTCCAAACATAGCGTTCATACCAGTGTTACGCCATAACAACTGACGTTGCTCTTTGGCAGAATTTATTTTTACAACGAGAGACCAGAGATGCACCAACACAACTTGATTTTGGAAAATCCGGCGTTAGATCAGAAAACGATTCATTGCAAAGTTTTTTGCGAGCAGTTGCCTAGCGACCGTCGAACAGCTGTTCGAGGTGCCGGCGTCCTTTTCGGGGTCAATGAATTACTTACTTATAGCAATAACATCAAAATCTTCTGATATAATGATTTTTGGCCATACTGCCCAGCCCTAGGTTGCACATTCCTTTTTTTATATTAATTACATTATAATATATAAACTCTATACATGTGTTTTGGCGTATGTATCACGTACTTGTACTTTTCCACTTTTTATTCTTTTCGTATTTTAGTTCTATTAAATTTTGTCAACTATTTTTAAAAAGAAGCATTTAAATTGAAATGGGCCGTGTAGATTGTGTAGATTGTTTGTGAGCGAGTTACTAACACTACCTCTGCCCTTTTTCCTGGGTCAGGACGGACAGTCGAGGACCATCAGGCAGTTTCAGTTCACTGACTGGCCCGAGCAAGGAGTGCCAAAAACCGGGGAGGGATTCATCGATTTCATCGGCCAGGTCCATAAAACTAAAGAGCAATTTGGACAAGATGGACCAATTTCGGTGCACTGCAGGTACTGTGTGTGTCTGTTTGTGTGTGTGTGTGTGTGATGCAACATCGCACTATTGTTTCTTTGCTATGTGACAACTGACTTGATTGACTGTTGCATTCATTTGAAAGGCACTCGAATCCACAAATACCTTGTTTATCAGTCAACGTTTTAATTTTGATTGGAGATTTTAATGAAATTCCCATAATCCAAAGCAGTATTTAGAACAGACAGAAAAGAGTTAAGTGGATCCTGACATGTCGACAGAGACCGAGCTGCCAGGTCCCCGCTTTGCTCTGCATATGTGTATGCGTGTGTGACGCTGATTGGTAAGCAGACTCTAATGAAGTGTTTGTCCATCAGTGCTGGAGTCGGGCGGACCGGTGTGTTCGTCACCTTGAGCATCGTCCTTGAGAGGATGAGGTACGAGGGAGTGGTAGACCTCTTCCAGACCGTCAAGGCTCTCCGAACTCAGAGGCCAGCGATGGTGCAGACAGAGGTATGCTGCTGCGGCCGGAGGACACGGGGACTTGAACACGAGAGGGGACAGGAGGAAATGTCATAGCGACGACAGTAGAACAGTCGGAACACAAAGTACAGAACAGGCTCCAGATAGGAGGGTGGATACCCGACCCGAGCCCGTCGGTACCCGTCGGGACCCGTCGGGCCGGGTTCCGATATATATTTTGAAAATATAGTCGGGCTCGGGTCGGGGTCGGACACATCAGCGCGATAAGGCATTGAACATTCCATATTTAAAATATCTTAATTAGTAGTGAAGTCAACATCTGCTTTCCATGATGTAGAACCTCGGTTCCCAAGCAGCGCTTGTTTGTTTTAGCGAGGATATTTATCTGTTGATGCCTGAGTTTATTAAAGGCAGGCTATTTATTAAAAAAAAAGTTCGTGAATGTGTCATTATTATGAACAGTTGAGGCATTGACTCCGTCGGGCTCTGGTCGGGTTCGGACAAAATAGTTTAAAGGCTGTCGGACTCGGGTCGGACTTGGGCCCAACTCTGTCGGACGCGGGCCGGGCTCGGACAGAAAAAGTCGGCCCGATCCATGCTCTACTGAGCAAGACACAGCAGACACAGCACCTAGAGTGGACATCATGGAGAGATCCCGACAACGAGGTCCAAGCAGCATCCTGTAGCTTCAACCAGAAAACGTTTTAAATGATTGCTACGCGAACAGCTGCATGTATATTAACGCATCACTAAAGATTGTTATTTAGCATTTTGGTACAACAGCTGCAGAGTAGAATTAATCAGGATTGGAGTGAGCTTTGAAAGCTGAAAACCAATATGACCCAAACGTTGTGTTGATTTGTGCCCAGGACCAGTACCAGCTGTGCTACCGGGCGGCTCTGGAGTACCTGGGAAGCTTCGATCACTATGCAACATAACGCCGCACAGAAAGACGTCGTCAGACGAGTCCCGTGTCTCCTCTAAGTCACACATCTGCTCCACACAACCAGCCCCCCGCCCCCTCCCTCCCTCCCTGAGGCCCGATGAGGAGGCTAAAGTACGAGGAGATGACCACAGCGGGACACAGAGGGAGATAAGAGGCGAGAGGAAAGGGGGTGGAAAGGATGACGCCCTCCTGGACCGGCGCCTTGATTATGACCCATCACCAAAACCTCCCAAAAACCAACCCCCGAAAGACTGGTGGTCATGCCTCATTCCACTTCCCGCCCCCCCAGTTTCTGCCTCCTCTTTATAGCAAAAACAAATGCTCTGCTTTCATTTATATTCATCATTACTATGTTGTTATGAATATTCTGAATTTATTTTGTAATCACCTACTACACTGGTTATTATGTCTTAATGTTTTTTTTCTTCTTATTCTTATGTTATTAGCACAGAGGACTTGTATTTTGAACATTAATACTGGAGAGCGCATACTCACAGCTGCTAATAGTTTTATTTTGTACTATACATGTGATATTCTGATCTTATTTTTTGGGGGGATAAGTGGGTAATTTAGATATCCAACCGAACAAGGGTGAACATATCCCACAAACCGATCAAGTATGATCAACAGATCAATCACAGTATGAAATAAACACGTGGCTATAAACATGCAAAGACTATTCACATCTGAACAACTGCAATCACGTTTCAAGTCAACGAGGGTCGAGACATTTTCTCAGACGTCGGAAAGGTGGAGACTTTCAACTAAAGGAATCTGAAGTTGGTGGAAAGAGTCGTGCCCCCCCAACACACACTCAGGCACACCGAACACAGTGGCATTTGGATTATACGCTATGTGCACTACAGAAGAAGATGAATCCATTGTGACTCTATATTCTCATGGTCAGCTCTGCGTTTCACAGCTCCTACCTACTGAAAATATTCTTTAAACTACCAATGGTTCACAAATATATCAATAGAAATGAGAATAAATGGATTTGTTAATGCACTGTGGTCTGTAAGCAAAGCAAACAGAAAGAAATGTGCACTAGTGCACTAGTTGGGGACTGTTTGCAGCTGTTGATTAATCTACTGTACATTATGTGATCTAAAGAAGTGCTTCCCGCATTTTTTTGAGGGGACCCAAATTTTAAAAATGACAAATGTCAACTTATAATAAGTAAAACAGCCATTTATGAGAAATATACGTATAATAGGTATGTGTCGTTACTTTCTAAGTTCTTTTAATTTCTTAGGTTAAAAAAAATACAATGTACTCAAGTCTTTCATTTTAGAGTCAGGGCCGCTTTAAATAGGATCTAGTTGTTGGAACAATACAAACCATCAGGCTGCCTCCTGGGGCCAAAAGTGCACCGCAGCCATATATACAGTATATATATATATTTTTGGCCACCCTAATAATATCTCCTTTGACGCATTCGTGGGTGGTGACCCAGTCCTGGGAGGGGACTGGTCTAGTGAGTCATCGTGGGATTAGGTAAAAAAAAACTGGAAATGAAAGAAACATGTCACCCAGTGTAAGAGGCTCGCTGATGGGTTTTTAACAGAGGAAGGAGATCGAGGAAGCTTTACTTGTTGGTAAGATCAATTCACTGTTTGTTAGGATGTTCACATGGGATTTGTTGACAAGAAAAAACCGATGCTGTAGAATATCCAACATTGTTATTCATATCTGATTTTTCCATAATGTCTGACACGTTGCCTATTCGAAAGCATTAACATTGGGCTTGGTGGATATTTTAGAACAGGGGGGGCACCCACTCACTTACATTGACATTACATTTTTGGTATTAGCCAAACACAAATGCTGTTGGTATGTGCTCAAACTTCTTTCATAACATTTCCCAAACATTCGGTTGAAGCTTGCGTGGATCATACGGGAATTTAATTTGGTAATGTCCACACATTTCAGACTTCCACACTCCTCTCATAAGCTGCACCTTTCTGTTTGCATACGCGCTTGAGATGACTGAATGGGGGTTGGATGAAGTGGACCATATAACGAATTAATTTCACAGAGGGGTCCCATCTGTTGTATACATGATCTGTTTTGTATTTGTTAATAAAAAGCAGAAAAAAACGTCTTGAAGACCTTGATGTTAATAAAGTTGAATAAAGGGTTTTTAATAATATCAATGTGATGGAACTATTTTCTCTCGTCGCTCTGTTATAACTCAGTCATGCTCATTTCCAAGTTTATACTATTTTGGATTTTAACTAGAACAAATTCATATGTTTTAGTGTTCAGAAAAAATATTTCTCACTGACAAACTGTCAGTCTGAATACATCACATAGAATGACACGTACACAATTTAGAATGTTTACATATGTAAAATGGCATACAGTAGTCCTGGCTGCTTTGTTGAAAGACAGTTGCTAACTAGAAGGTGTGAGTATTTCTTCATGACTCTTCATGTTTTATTGCCACTCTGGTTGTCCAAGCAGAATTGTGTTTAATATTTTTCGATGGGAAACTCCATAAGACATATGTCTCTATACATATATTGCATATAATTCAATAACAACATGAGAAGCAATGTATATATACAACAAGGCAATTTATTTGTTAATTGTTTATTTGTACTTGCAGGCAAATGTACTGTTACTTTGTCATTTGTTTCATAGGATCCCATTTTCTCATTTAGTTCAGAACAAGATAGAGCTATTGGTTAGATAAACAGTTTATTAAACAGTTTTCTTCATTTCAATGTCAACCTCTATGTCTCAAACAAGGCTTGATTAATCAAGGTTTAATCACAGGTTCATATACTTTTGCCGTAGTCCGTTCTTGGAAATTGTTTTGGTTGTAAGAATCAGATGTATTGGTTCGATGTTCATATTATCAATAAATGACGCAAACTAGTGCTGACACGGTTGGGAAGAGTGAGGACGTCGTGATTGGCTGAGGGACCATCGAAGCCCCTCCCACTGAGCTCCATGTAAACAAACCCACACTGAGCATGCGTCGTCGGAATAATGGAGGACTGTCTTTTCCACCCGGACTGATGATGTCTGTACTTCTACTCTACTACCTGCTCTGAAAGAAAAAAAGAAAAAAACTTGCTTCAGCTTGTGTAAGTTCGTGTTTGGCACTTGCGAATTATTTTGTTCTTTGGAAACTGGGAGTAACTCTTAAGTTTGGGCGCAAGAAACTGACGGTCAGCAACAAGCCATGTTTGCTAGTTGATTTAGCCGAGAGCGGAGGCAGCTGTCAGATTCGAGTCCGCTACACACATAGCGGTTTTCCTATTTCCAGTCACATTATCCTGTTTGACAGGAGGACTTGCATTGTGTATACATGTTAGTTTATTGCGGTGTACTCCTGAATTTGTTAGCGATGTAGTTTTTGTTGGGCATACTTAATTCCTAAGACGCAAAAGCAGCCTGCAGTTAGCACGTTAGCTAGCGGCCAAACGTTAGCTAAATATTTTTCCGATGAACGTCTGTATGTGACAGACGTGGTATTCATCCAATCACAGCCTGAGCGTCGTCGTTAGTGAGGGTGCTGTCCAATAGCCGGGCCGAGCAGGCGGGCCCCCGTGTAGTTATCGTTTCGCTAGTAATGTCCGTAATGCAAGAGTTTACAATATGTTGCCTGTTGGCTCAAGTGTACAGTGGTTTCTAGTTCCAAGTGGATGTGGTTGTTTTTTTAAGCAGGATAAACGTTATTTAAATTTCACAAATAAGTTTAAAGGGAACACTCCCATGACAGAAAACTTATAAGTAGGTTTAGCCGGTGCCGATGTCTACAGCTGTAGATTGCTTTGGCGACTGTGGCTGTATAACCTTTTAGCAGAATCAGGCTCTATGATGTCTGGTACTGCCTCTATAACGTGTGAATAACCCACAAATCTGACAGCATCTTTAGTTTAGTTGAGATAGTCTGTTATTGCCAAGTGATGATTCGGATTGGGCCACTGAAATCAGTGTGCCACAGACGGTCAGATACATTACCGACAATCATGTTATGTTTTCCACCAATCAGAGTTGGGAAAAAACAGCACCCAAGATGACTACGGACACACCGGCCCAGAGCGTGGGCTCCAGGATAATGACTTTCACCCCCACCAAGGAGGAGTTCAAGGACTTCAGCCGCTACATCGCCTATATGGAGTCACAAGGAGCCCACAAAGCTGGAATGTCTAAAGTGAGTTGCATTTCTTATATTTGGTCAGGCTATCATAATCCAAGTGGGTTGACTTATTATTTATCCGTAAACTTACCAGTGTTCCCCTAACATTATAAAACCCTTTTACAATTCTCCACTGCTCCCTGCGAGAGAGAGTTGCACCCCAATGACACGCAGACACGTGTGCGCACACATAGGTGAGCACGCTCCCACCAGTTCACTGGGCAGCGCATGAAAATGTAACCCCTTTCACACCAAGGTTGAGTTTGAGCACATATGACAAAAAGTTTATAGTTTCATTAAAATAACCTATAAATATTCATCACAAACCCCCCCACAGGAACCAAACATTGCACAAATTCGATACAGCTCACCCTTGATTCGTTTTATTTAAAAATAGAATGGCTTTAATGCTGGTTGCTCCTGTTCTTCCAAAGCAGTGGTGAAGAACAGCAGGAGTCAATGCCAGGAGTTGCGATTTGATTGATTCCCAAGCTTCTAAGTCACCAAATGGCCGTTTCGCTGACAGGCAATGCAGCACTTTGAAACAGAGCCTGGTGTGGTTCTCACTCCACATTACTAATAAATCAGTAGTTAATTCCAACTCAATATTTGAAGTGATTTTCCATTGCCGTTACACTTTATGTAAAACTCGTCACGGGTAACTCGTAACTCTCATCTCTACCACAACCGCATCATGAGACGCTGGTTTTCATGCTGCCTTTGTGTTTTCTTGCAGGTTATCCCACCGAAAGACTGGAAACCCAGACAGACTTATAATGATATTGATGACCTGGTGATCCCCGCTCCCATTCAGCAGGTGGTGACCGGCCAGTCGGGACTATTCACTCAGTACAACATCCAAAAGAAGCCCATGACTGTCCTCGAGTTCCGCAAAACCTCCAACATGGACAAGTCAGTTTGCACGGTCAAATAATGAGCATCAATGGCTGTAAGAATATGATTTGTGTGTTCCTTAAGTCTAACGAGCTCTTACTTTGAATCTATCTTTCTAGGTTCTGCAGTCCCAGATATGTGGATTTTGACGAGCTAGAGAGGAAGTTTTGGAAGAACCTGACCTTTAACCCGCCCCTTTATGGGGCCGATGTCAGCGGGACCCTATATGACCCGGTGAGTGATGACGGTTTGGAAACAGACTCTGTAGTCCCTCACTCACTGCGTCTCACAGCCCGGCTGAATCCTTTCTTTTTCTAGGATGTGACTGAATGGAACATCGGCCGCCTCAACACCATCCTGGACACGGTGGAGAACGAGAGCGGGATCAAGATCAAAGGAGTCAACACACCTTACCTGTACTTTGGGATGTGGAAGAGTGCCTTTGCGTGGCATACGGAGGACATGGATCTGTACAGCATCAACTACCTGCACTTTGGAGAGCCAAAGACCTGGTACAGTAGCTGACACACAACTCACACTGCTGCATCTGTTTTAAGAGCCTAAATGTCGAAATACACTCAACCTGACCAATAATCCTTATTCACAAATCACCACTGCAGATACAACGATGTGACTGTAAAGTGCCGGGTTACCTGTGGGTTCTCTGAGTGTACAATGAAGCGGATACACACGTTTGTTTGTTTGGGTACTCGTCTTTATTATTATGGACAACGTGGATGAAAAAGTCTCTTTCCGTCGGTTCTGTCTGTCCTTTCGCTTGGCATTTTTTACTCTGTCTTCTCTGGAACCCCACCCAATGCCACTACTGCTTATTTATAGGGAAACTATTAACCCCACACGATGCAACTGAGGCATACGTCGCCGCCCGGCAATGTTCCCTGAACAACCCGAACCACGACCCGCCACCACGGTCATTAAATGTGTGATACTGGTAAAAGACAGTCCTGCTGTTCCTTTTTATTAAAAATAGTTCAGTGGCTTTTAGAAACCTCTGAGCTCTTAGATGCAGCGTTCCAGACTTGTTAATCACAACACCCTCTGAAGTGAAGAATGCTTCAGTACTATGACAATGGGATCAGTACTATGACAATGGGATCAGTACTATGACAATGGGATCAGTACTAGGACAATGGGATCAGTACTATGACAATGGGATCAGTACTAGGACAATGGGATCAGTACTAGGACAATGGGATCAGTACTAGGACAATGGGATCAGTACTAGGACAATGGGATCAGTACTATGACAATGGGATCAGTACTAGGACAATGGGATCAGTACTAGGACAATGGGATCAGTACTAGGACAATGGGATCAATCAACAGTTAAGTCAACCTAACTAAAAACACACCTCCACCTGGACTAGTTAGCACTGACTTATAACACTTTGTAGTTTGGCCATTGTGATTCTTGTTGTTCTGGGTCTGTAACCTCATGGTTGAATGCACAGTAATCTTACTGCGTAAAGAGGACACTTTGCTTTTGAGCACTTATGACACAAGATTTAGCACCATACATCGCTGTGAGATCTGTGAGATAATATGGACACTGACAAACAAATCACCTTTACTATCTGTTTACAAAGAAGGGTTGAAAACACAAGGTATGCTAAACCGGTGTGTGTTTAAAGGGCCTGTTGCACGGTTGGAGACTATGGGAATTACTGTGACTAAGACCGAACATTATGTAAGTTTTCCCAACATGTATGAACACTATCAGTGGTATAACGGACTGCCGTTGATCCCAATTAATGTTCTCTGTAAAGCGGGGTATTGGGTGACGGTTATTTCACTGTGTTCCAATGTAATGTTTTGCAATATAAAGTAGATAGTGAATTCTGAGCTGCCTATTGTCTATGTTTGATCCAAGCAGCTTATGAAGCCTCTATAGAAATGCGTATGAAATGCCTCTTTAAAAAAATCGAGCACCACAAACAAGAAGATATATTAGTATGCTAGTCAATATCATATATGACACAGTTGTGCCTTTTTGTTCTGCAGGTACGTCGTCCCACCAGAGCATGGGAAACGACTGGAACGACTTGCCAAAGGTATGTGATTGTGATTTTGTTTAATTTTATTTTCTATATAGTGCCAGATGACAACAGGTCATTTAAGCTTACCTTTTCCTATATTAAATATTATAGATTTTCTTTCTTAAGTGTTTTTGTATGTTTGTTCACAGCTGCTATTTAACAGTGTGACTCAAAATGTATATGCAGATGGGGTGCACTGATATCTTGGATGGCTTCTTGTTTTTCCAGGCTTCTTTCCAGGGAATGCTCAAGGCTGTGAGGCCTTCCTGCGCCACAAGATGACTTTAATTTCACCCTCAATCCTGAAAAAATTTGGGATACCATTTGAGAAGGTGATCTTTCCTTTACTTTAGGCTGACTTCCTGACATTAAAAAAGTATTATAAAGTAGCGTCTATGGCTGTCAAAATTGCTCAAAAAGGACGTTCGAATATTCGCTTTAAAAAAAGACGTATATTCGAAAATCAGGTTGCGCATTAGGCGCGTAAATAACAGGACAAATTTATACAACGAGACATAACTACTTGTGTAGGTAATTTATTTAAGTTTAAACATATTTAAGAACATATTACCTACACAAAAAAAAGTAAATTAACCTTACCTAACCTACCCTCTCTCTCTCTCTCTCTCTCTCTCTCTCTCTCACTGCCACACCGTCGCGCTCTCTGCGCAAAGCGGTTTAAATGAACGACAACAATAAACCACTGCTGAGCGCTGATCAAGAGTTTTGTGCAAGTAATTTAATGTCGCGATTCTTGTCCCACATACGTCAGGCTTCATTCAGTGATTGAAACTGAAGGTTTTACAGTACCGACATTGAACGCTCCGAGCAAGCTGTGCTGAAAAGCACAGAACTTTTCATTGGCATGAAACCGCAAATAATCAAAGCAATGCATGAAGCTGTTGTAGCCGATCTAGTCTATTTTATTCATGCAATATACAGTCTGTAGTCAGGCGCGCGCCCGCCCGCTAAGCAGACAGACAGTTTATTTTTATTTTTTACATTCAAATACTTATTTTCACTATTCGAATATAGAATATTAGTTGACAGCCCTTGTAGCATTACGTGTCTGATTCTGTGTGTTTCCACTCAGGTCACTCAGGAGGCTGGGCAGTTTGTTGTGACGTTCCCATTCGCTTACCACGCTGGATTCAACCACGGCTTCAACTGTGCCGAGTCGACCAACTTTGCCACCCAGCGATGGATTGATTACGGCAAGCAGGCGACACTGGTACATAAACCAACCCCATTCCAGTGTAGTCGTCTTTTGACTAATCCCTTTAACCCACGCACAAGAACAAGAACATTTTGATCTTATTTGATCTTATTTTTCTTCCCCCCCAGTGAGCCAAACTCTTCTTAAAGGCTTTTTTTGCACCGTTCGCATCTTACGTGCTCCATTTGTTAATTTCTTCCCAGTGTTCCTGCCGTCAAGACATGGTGAAAATCTCCATGGACGTGTTTGTCCGCAAATTTCAGCCCGACCGCTACAAGCTGTGGAAGGCTGGGAAAGACAACGCTGCCATCGACCACTCCAAAGTCCCGCCGGAGGCTGCTGAGCTCCCAAGAGAGGAGAAGAGCGAACCTCCCAAAGAGGCTGAATCCAAGGAGCCCGCTACTCCTGCCCCAGAGGACAAAAGGTCTGGAGTCCCACTTTCCGCTATGTATGTCTATTGTGGGTGAAATAGAAAATAGATTTCAGCTAAATGAATTTTAGTTATTTTTTTCAATTACTCAGTTATTCGTACTGCAGTGTGACACTTTGATTCAGCCTTTAGTTCAGTAGGTTGGTGGAGGGAGTACCCAGATGTTTTACTTAAATAAGAGGAGCAATACTCCTACTGTAAAACTACTTTGTATTAAGTAAAAATCCTCCATTGAAACGCTTACTCAAGTAAAAGTCACTTAAAGTGATGAATACTCATTTTGTCTAAACCATCAACATTACATAGATCATAATTACTGATGCAATAGTGTATTCATCACTTTAATGTTGCAGCTGTTAAATTGGTGCTACGTTTCTTTACTTTGTGTGGTGCTGGGCTGCTGATTTTGTAATTCAAACAGCAATCCTCATTAATCAGTTGTGCCACATTTAGTATGCCAAATCTAAATCTAAGTATGTAAATGTGGTGGAGCAAAAATGTGAGTTTTGGTCTCAAATGTAGTGTAGAAGTCTCCAGCAAAGAGACCTGAAGATTGTGTGTTGGTACATGTGCTTCACGCAGCTTGGCTATCGCTGGGAACCGGAGTCATGTTGGGCTTGTTTTCACTAATGTCTCCTGTGCATCAGTCCAAAGCCTCAGACCGGAACAAAGCGACAGCTCCAAGCTACCGAAGCCTCCGGAGACATCGGAGTTGAGCTGCCTGTCAAGGAGAATGAGATAGAAGGGGTGGAGCCAAAGAAGGCAAGGCTGTCACGCAAGGACTCTCCGACCAAAGTCAAGCCAGACAAAGGTACAGTACAGTCGGTTAAGCTCCTACTTCCGCGTTGGGGGTTAAAGGGACGGCTTGGATATTTAGAAGTGGGGTGCATTGGGAATTTTACCACACACTCGACAGGAGAGGCAGCAAAGAGATATTGCACAATTAATGTATTGCTGTGGACATCGTTTAGACACCTAAAGAATTCAGTAGCATTATATTTAGAATATTTCAACTGAACAGAAGAGTGGAACTATATAAGATGAGATGTTTGCCTCACCTCCATAGCTTAATCCAACAAAAATCCATGATGAGGTTTTTTTGTGTTAAAATAAACCCTCTCTTGCAGGGAGACCTGAAGGGAAATTTGGCAAACTTGTCCCATGCGCGTGGCGTTGAGGATAGCACAGATAGGCTTTCCTTTCAGTTTGGTTCCCTGTCAGAAAGGGCTGTCTGACATTAAGCCGTGACAATATTCCAAAGGCAGTTTACGAATAAACCGGTTTGATTTTTTTTAAGGTGTCTAAAATACATCTACAGCAGTACATTGCCAAGCTGTACAGTTTTTCTTACACTGACTATGGATGAGTACCCAATACCACCCGGATACCCTTAGTTGTAGAAAACCAAAGAAACAGGAGATTATTTCTGTGTACGTCATCGAAGGTCTTGACTCTTCAGACCTCACTCCCAGTTTTTCTTGAAGAAATCTGTTTTGTGCTTTTGTGTGTTATTTACAATTACCTATTTTTCAGAGTAATAATTCTCTCTTTAACTGGAGTCCTTTGAGGCCCTGCACATGCTCTGAAACACAAGTTGCTTTAGGTGCCTGCTATTTCATGTTTTTAATTATTGCTGGGGTTTTCTGTGTGTAAGTGCTGGCTCAGTAACCAGCGCAGTGCATTCTGTAAATGATAGAAAGCATTCTAAAGGGCCGCGACAATCTGCTTGCGTCCATCTTAACAGCAGCAATTCTCGTGATTTATTCTTTCAGACACAGTAAAAGTAAAGACTGAGCCCAGGAAGGACAAACATCTCAGGTCTCAGGCTAAATCTCCGTCCAAATCCAGCTCTAAGAAAACCTCCAGCAGACAAAGCGCATCAAAGAAAGAGAAGAACGGCGTGTTGGCTGCATGTCCTCCTGAGCCGGCAGTGAGCCGGCCGCTTGCTCCGTGCTCCGAGGAGGAAGAGGAGGAGGAAGAGGAGGAGGAGCAGCAGCAGCAGCAGCAGCAGCAGCGCACAAGCCCGGCGCACAAGCTGTTCCAGACAACAATGAGCCCCGCGGACGTCCTGCACGTTCATAGCTACGCTAAAGGAGACTACGGAGAAGGAGACGCTCTGCCCATGAAGGACGACACAAGTGACAAGAGTGACAAGAGTGACAAGAGTGACAAGAGTGACAAGAGTGACGACAGTGATGATGAGACGGAGAGAGACAGCAGACATGTTAGCAAAGCAGTGGGTGGAGACACACACACACACAAGTGCAGATCTTCCACTGTGGCAATCGTGGAGCCTGTAACAGAGGGTGTGTCTCTCCAGCAGGTAGCAGAAGAGTCTGCCGGAGAAGAAGACCTAAGTGATCTAGGACAGCTTCCAGGCCACCATCCGCTCATAAAGGACTGCCTGAGTGATGAAGGTCTGTGGAATCAACACAGCAACACCCTCACACTTAACATAGGATGAATAGTTATGAAAGGAAGAGTATCATCCGCTGGTTGTTATTTGATCTGAATTGGTGGTTACGTCAGTCTTGCTGTCTGTCATTTTGATGGGCAGGAAGAAAATCTAACTTCTTTTTCCCACCAGTGCATCCCTCTTTTATTCTATATTTTTCCTAATAACAGAGTTCGGGCAACAAAGCTTCTGATGTGAATGCGTATGCTAACTTTACTGTTTGCTTCTCTATCCCTCAGAGGCCCCGGAGGAGGCCCCCCCAGCAGAGGAGGGTGGTTTGGAAGGGGAGAGCTGGGCTAAACCTCTGGCTCACCTGTGGCAGAACAGACCTCCCAACCTGAAGAAAGAGAGAGTGTACAACCAGTGCATGGGATCCAAAGCTCCATATTGCTCCATCTGCACGCTGTTCCACACATACCAGCAGGTAGTCTGTGCCAGAGCAGGCCAGCCGCTACACTCTCCATGCCCTTTTTACCTTAACTGAGGGCCCAAACATTACCGTCCTGTAAACCCGTTGATTCATATTCAGATTAAGACGTTACTTGTTGCTCAGTGCGGTGTCTGTGTGGCTGCCTTCAGACTGAATGTGCGAGCAGCGTAGACAGTCCTGTCATGTTGGCCGGTGGGCGGATGCGGACCAAGCCTTTGATCCCGGAGATGTGCTTCACCACCACCACCGAGGAGGACTCTGAGTGTGATGAGCAGCCCGTCACACCGCACCTGGAGGAAGACGGAACCAGCCTCCTCATCAGCTGCTCTCAGTGCAGCATCCGGGTCCACACCAGTCAGTACACACACACACACACACACACACACACGACAGTGTCTCGTATTCCACTGTATTCATACTCCACCAACATTTGACAGCAGACTGCAGGGTCTTAACCACTCAGCTAATGACGCGACAGTGATAGTCTGTGTTTCTTTGTATCCCAGGCTGTTACGGTGTGGATCCTGCCAGTGTGAGCAAGGAGTGGAAATGTGTGCGCTGCAAGGCCAACGCCATGAACGAGGTCAGTAACACCACCAGGCTGTGTCCTCATTTCTCCTCTGATGGCCCCACAAACATGGGGGTTATTTCTTCATAATCTTGTTCTTCACAAAATCTGTGTACCATGGAAGCTCATTCTATGTTCGACATTACTGTTGTTGTGGTTTCTATTTGCTCATTCAGTTATTGACTTTCCCAAAAAACAAATTTAGCTCACCCAACAACATTTATTATCAGTTATATAAAAAATAATAAAGTTGATCTAATGTCATGTGCTTTTTATATAAGGTAATCTTGAGTTTCATCAACATCTTAGAAGATGTTCCAACAAGATGCCCAACAAAACTGAAAAAAACATTTTTTTAAAATAAATCTGCCCTGTTTCAGCTCTTAAACTTTGCCGTTTTCTCTCTAATCCCATTCACACTACTGTTACTGGATTTACTATCCCAACATGGAATTTCACTTATGTATTGTTGAGCCTCCATTGTTTGCTGAGGCATGTGATGGTCCTCATTTTGTACTTTCAAACTCGATAAGTAGTGTTGTGTGTACTTTTGTCCTAACACCACTCGTCATGCACTCCTGGTGAGCCTTCCCACGTTGAAGGTTTTACATGAAGGTAGATGAGTGAAAAGGCCCTAATCACGGTTCTACAATTCTAGTACAAAGGCACTGAACTAGTCCATGAATAAGAGTTATTCAATTCTATTGAATTTCTGTTGTATAGCTGAGAATCCGGGCGGTGGTGTGGTGGTTACCAGTGTTTTAAAGTACAACCAATTAAATGCATGCGATATGACTTTAAAGTTGAATTCCAATCCATCATTGTGAAGGTTGGTTTATAGCAGTCTACGGGCATCTATGCGTTACCCTCCTTGTCTTCTCAATTCTTCACCGTTTGCACTAATACAGCGAGTATTGACGCCTCCTGTGCTACTCCATGCAAAGCCTGCTAAGGGAAGCTCCTCCGCTTGAACTCAGTGGTTCACATGTACGGGTGGTTTGTTTGGACAGTCGATTGACAACATGATAATGTTCTACTTACAGAATTGCTGTTTGTGTTTGCTGAGGGGTGGCGCCTTGCAGAAAGCCAACAACAACAAGTAAGTTCTTCTTTCAATTGAATGAGATGGCGTGTCACTTGCTAACTGATTCATAAATCCCGACATTACTGCACACATTACAAACTAGTACTAACACCTGTGGGTAAAACACTCTAATGCACCCACTTTGTATGCATCCGTGCTGGAGAAAAGGTATAACCTTTTGGTTGTCAGTCAAAGGTCACGGGGGCTGTAACCTCACGTCTGTCCCGTTCTCGTGAACTTGATATCTCAAGAACTGGAGAGACTTTCTGAAAATACGGCATAAACCTCCACCTGGACTCTAGTTTCTCTCTTCTCTAGTTTAAAGTTACTGTGGCCTCACAAAAGATTTTCAGCTGTAATTCAAGAGTTGATATAAGACAATAGAGACAATAACGCAAGCTCTATTCAATGAGTGAGTATTGAGGGAAGGTAAATTAAAAAAATGTAATTGGTCTCACAGTAACATAAAATAGATATCAAAGATGAACGATGACCTATTAAACGTCCTAACACTAGCTCATCAAAACCTTCAATGTCAATTAAAATACAATAAAAAAAAGAGGAAATTGCTTGTTAGTGTGCAATGTAAACTCATATTATTTAAAGTTTGAATCTGGGTTCTGTGAACACACCCTCGACACATCAAATATGATTAATGTTACTGATTCACACAACAGAGAATCCAGCAACACTAGATGTGCATGCACATTATGTCACATCCATGCTTGTAGCAGATGAACAGAATGGGCTTCTTACTCATCTAACCGGTTGCGTTTGTGTGTGTGTGTGTGTTGCAGGTGGGTACATGTGCTGTGTGCAGTGGCTGTGCTGGAGGCACGCTTTGTCAACATCACTGAAAGAAGTCCTGTGGACTTAAGTGGAATCCCTTTGCAGAGATTTAAACTGGTGAGTTCAACAGCGGTGTCACTTACTTTCTCCAATGGTAAATGGACTGTACTTGTATAGGGCTGGACTACATGACCTCATCCATGCACACACTGATGACAGGATCTCCCATACACAGAGCCACCTGCCCATCAGTAACTAACATTCACACGCTGTAGTTGCAGTTACAGGAGCAATGTAGGATTAAGTGTCTTGCCCAAGGACACATCAACATGCAGGTTAGCCGAGCCTATGATCGAACCGCCACTGCTCTGATCGAAGGACGACCGTGCTCCCCACTCACCCACAGTCGCCCGTGATGATCTGAAACATTTATTTGTGACATATGCAACAAAAAGAAACGACGAATGGGGATTTTTTTTTTGTTTTTTTACTTGTTAGCCACACCACATCAACATCGCGTAACAGGGGTGTCTCATGTGGAGTAAATTGGCTGATCTCTGAGAGAAAATAGATGAAAGATTCCTGGTGTGTGTGTGTGTGTGTGTGTGTGCGTGTGTGTGTTTGTTCACTTTCCCATCGAGTCATTTGCCCTCCTGAGCCCCTGTGTTTGACTGTGTCCATACAGAAGTGTTACTACTGCAAGAAGAGGATGAAGAAGGCGTCCGGCTGCTGCGTGCAGTGCTCCCACGGCCGCTGTCCCACCGCCTACCACCCCACCTGTGCCCAGGCCGCCGGAGTCCTCATGCAGCCCGACGAGTGGCCCTTTGTGGTGCACGTCACCTGCTGCCGACACAAGGGCCCCACTCAGATCGAGGTAAGGAGCTATCTGGGAATCCGTTGGCCCGCTGCCGGGCTGTGAACCGTGGTCCAGGGCTGATGTGTTGGTGTGTTGTAACAATGGGATTTCTTCTCTGGCAGCGCAACAAAGCCGCCATGCACGAGCTGACTGTGGGTCAGAAGGTGATATGCAAGCACAAGAACGGCCGTTACTACCAGTGTGACGTGGTGCAGCTGTCCAAGGAGACCTTCTACGAGGTGAACTTCGACGACGGCTCCTTCAGCGACAATCTCTTCCCCGAAGACATAGTGGTGGGTTTCACTTCTCATTTAATCAAAAATGTACTTTGTATTTTGAAGTATTGCGTTGGAAGCTGTAAGGAAATGCCAAAATTCAATATACTTCAGGTTTGTTTGGGGTGTTTTTCTCTACAGTATTTGTGTGTGTGTGTTTGGTTCTTTAGAGCAGAGACTGTGCTCAGCTGGGACCGCCACCCAAGGGTGATGTGGTCCAGGTGAGATGGACGGACAGCTTGGTGTACGGGGCCAAATTTGTGGCAGCGCATGCTATCCACATGTACCTGGTAAGTGTGTGTGTGACAGAGAGAAATTTGTGAATTTAATTTTTACATCCACTAATCTCTGCGCACGCAGTTCTGTGGCGCATGGTGGGAAATGAAGGTGTTGTGTAGCGTACGCACACTCTAGTATACTAGTAGGCCAGTACACCGCTTCTTTGTCCCATCCTTGCTGTGTGGCATGCAGTACTCCACCACCTGCTCCATCATTTCTAGCGTTGCACCGCCATGTGTGACGTCCTGAGTGATTTTATTTAAGGGACTGCATGTTAATAGTTCGACCATCATCGTTTGGTGAGTGCAGGTGGAATTCGAGGATGGGTCGCAGCTAACAGCCAAGAGAGATGACGTCTACGCTCTGGACGAGGAACTTCCTAAGAGAGTCAAATCAAGACTGGTATGTGCAACCCATACGTCCCAGACTCTGTGATCCACCTGATATGCCGCTAATGAGCTGGAATCTAAAATGCCGATGAATGCGGACTTGTTTTTGTCTCTGCAGTCTAAAGCTTCAGACATGAGATTTGACGGCATCTTCGAAGGGAAGGAGATCATCAAGCAGTCAAAGAGGCAGAGAGTGATCAACTCGCGTTACAGGGGGGACTACATAGAGCCTGTGATCTACAGAGCCATCATGGAGTAGCTTCTGCTCACACACACACACACACACACACACACACACACACACACCAGCACTGACAGAATGAACGGCGCTCAATGTAACCTTAACGTAGCAGCTAGCCACTGAGAGTGTAGCTCCAGATGACTTTAGACTGTTTTTCCTTTTTTTTTGTCTCTCTCATTCATCCATCTTAAATCATTCAACAGGCATTTCTATCTTTGTTATTTGACAGCACTCAAAAAAATAGCAACAAAAAGCAGCGTCATTTTTTCCCATAAAGGATAAACGGTGTCCCGCCCTGGCATTACACAAAATTAGGAAGCAAAAAGTTTTTGAACATTTTGATTTTAATGTTAAATAAACTGCTCCTAGCTAAACCTTTCAATTACAAATAAAATAAAAATCATATATTTCTATATTTCTTTCCTGCTGCCATTAGTGGCTATCATACAGAGCTCGACAGGTATCCGCTTCAGACTAGTTTGGATTTATTTTGTTTTCACATGGCTGAATAAATACTTTCAAACTTCCCTATCCCTTTTCAAACATCCTTATTGCAATTATTCATTGATTCCTGATTTTTTACTAGGAAGAAAAAGAGACTAAAAGAATAATTCCTATTTTTTATTTTTTTTGACTGATTGATTATTTCCCTCTAAAGACCTCTCAGGTCTCAGGAGGCCACATTTGCCATGAAAACTGCACCACGTGATCATTTCAAATTGCTTAAAGTCCTTAAAACGAGATATTGAAAAAGCCTGTCTCCAAGATGGGCTTTCAATATTAAAGAATGACGCATGACCCTCAATGCGTAGAAATACCTGGCTAAATTAGCTTCACCCTCTTTTGCTGTATCTACTTCAATAAAATATAATAAGAGTAGACCGGACATTCCCATTTGAATCCACGCAGCGGGATGGTCGGGAGCAGCTGTCATTCGAACGACCAGTGGGGTAGTAACCTTATGAAGCATACTTCTAACTAACAGTTGCATCGTCAAAGCCATTTCTTTACATTTGATACAAGCAAACCACCAGGAGGCCACCATAGGAAAATAGTGCCTCATCCATAAATCCTTTTAATAATGAGATTATTCCCATCCGCCCTTCACGAAATAGTACCTGACCATTTCTTGAACAGCAAATAAACTGTATTTATGTGCAGAAATATGACAAAACTAAACGTATTTCTAGAGTGCTGTAAGTACCTAAGTGAACACCAATACCAAATGCATTCTTCTTTTGATGCCTTACTTAGAAATGTAAAAATCTACAATTTTCTCAAAGTTTTTTTTACAGCTGTGTGCTTGTGAAAATGAAGAAACACAAACACAGGATCAGAAAGAAAAGGTAAACATTTCAATTGCTTTAGAAACTATCCGATTAAAAAGGGCGCAGACACGTTTACAAATCTGACCAGATACTCACCGACAGCTCTTCTTTCAGTGATCGGTGCGAAGGGACACATTTTGGTTTGTACCCAAACAAGTAAATTCTGCACCAGTATTTGACAACTCTTTTGTTGATCGTCTGAGCACGGTTTCAATTCATGACCTCTATCACTGTAGTGTCATAGAATAATCCTTTTACTTGTTTCTCCGGGTTTGCGACTCGACCATAAAACTGTGTTTTACAATATATGAGTTGAGCTGATTCTAGGTTATACGGTGCAAAAATGAGTTCATTTTAATGCTCAGTATTGGACATACTGAGCTCCTCAGTGGGTTATGACATGGAAATGTTTTTTACTGAATAGTTCTGTTTTAAAATAATCTTTCACGACTTCACACACGTGCAAGTAGAAACATTTACCACACCATTTCGGTCAACATGATTGCGAAAAATAAATACAAAACAATATGAATAATATAAAGTTGGAATATTTCTTTAAGTAGGAGCAATTTCAACAATGAACTGCATTCCTTTACCTTTTGATTTAGACAAAGTGGGTGGGGCTTGTTCTTACCTGCCCAGTTTTTAAGGTGCTTTTAGAAGGTCACCAATGCCGAGGTTGTTGATGTGTGTTTTATTTTCTCTACAGTACAGACACATTTTAAAGAACTCGTTCAGATTTATAACGCGCTTTGTCTACCCAACTGTTCCCTCGCTCTCTTACTGAAAGTTGTGCATTGCACTTTTATTTAAGTTGTTTTTGAGGACATTGGATTTTTTTTACTTGATGCCATTGTGTATTTGTAAAAAAAAAAAAAGAGAATGTTAACCGTAGGTTTGTAAAATGTCTTACGGATTGAGTGGCCCTCAAGCTCTTTGGCCTCGTTGCACTAGTTCCGGGACGTGGTGGGCTTGTGAGGTCATCGTCTGCCTGTGAACTCTGCACTCAGAGGAACGGACCTTTTCCACTTCAAGGACTCCATCAGTCCAGTGGAGAATGAATTTATTATATTCATAAAGTATTAAGAGAGTTGTACATGAGGAGGGGGATTTTCTATTCTATTTTACTGCGTCGTTTTGTAAAACATGTTCTATCTGTATCTTTCACATAAACCTATCAAGTGTGAATGTCATGTAGTCTATTTTAAGAGGATTCGTGTTGCCCCAGGAGATGTTTGTTCTTGTTGGCTCCTCCTGAGAAGAATTAACTGAAGGAATTTGTAAAATGAATTTGTTTGTTTCAGTAAAGAAATGTTTTCTTCCAATGCTATTTTCCTGTCTCACTCTTTTGATTTTGCCACAATATTCCACAGAGTGACAGTTGTGAAGCTATTAGAATTTGGTGGTCATTGTGACCTACAAAACACGTCCTTGGCCCTGACAGAAGAATACATATTCTGATTAGAATAAAGAACAATAGCCAAATGTCAAAACATTTCTGATTTTGTAAAACAAAAAAAAACAGACAATGGAACAAAAAAGAAAATGCGTACTTCATTCCTTATGTTATGCATTCATGAAAATCTGATATCTTATTTCCAAATCATCTGATAGGTTGTGATTATAAAGGAATTACATTTTAAACAGACATGATGTCTGAGGTGGTAGATGGAACACTGTTTTGTCTTTGTTAGAGCCAACTAAGAATTCTGGCAGAGGCTGTAGATGGAGATTTGGGTTACAGGTGTCTGCCAACAACCAGCCGGTGGAGGCAGCAACTGAGGGTTGTTGGGTTACTGGTGTCTAACAGCAAACTGTAAGTGTAGGCATCAACTGAGGGTTGTTGGGTTACTGGTGTCTAACAGCAAACTGTAAGTGTAGGCATCAACTGCAGGTTGCTGGGGGAAGATGTAGGTTAAGGTTTTAAATTTCTACCAGAATGGGGAGGCCACAGATCCCCGCAGAAGAATCCAACCTCAACCTTCGATAGAGGCAGTATCTTCAGGTTGGTGGTGGAAACCATAGGTGGAGATTTAGGTTGGAGATGTCTAGTAGCAACCTGCAGCTGGAGGCATAAACTGCAGGTTACTGTTAGAGGGGTTGTTGTGGCGTAGGGGTAGAGAGGGAGCCGCAACAGTTGGTGGTTCGAGCCCCGGCTGCCCCATGTCCAAGTGTCCCTCAGCAAGACACCTCCTAATTGCTCCCTGGGCAAAATGTGAAAAAGCCATGGCTTAAAAATGTAATGCAAGTCACTTTGGGTAAAACTGTCAGCTAAACGACCTGTAATGTAGAGGTTGATGGAGGTGACAAGCAAAGGCTGTAGATGGGGATTTGGGTTATAACTGTCTGCAGTCAACCTGCGGCTGAAGGCATCACCTGGATGTTAAGTTACTGCTGTCTGCTATTAACCTGCAGATGGAGTAGGTAGAGGTTGTGGTAGCAGCTTTCTATCAGGAGCTGGAAGCAGATGGCAGTTTCTTCATCTTTAGGTGGAGGCGGGGGGTTTCATGTTGCTCAAGTTGGATTACACCGGTCTACCAGAATGTGCAGGTGGAGGCATGGGCTACAAAATCTGGCAGAAGGCTGCAATCTGAGCTGTATGTGGAGGTGGTAGATGGAGATTTCAGTAGCAGTTGACTGCTATCAACTTGCAAGTGAAAGTGGCAAATGCAGGTTGCTGTAGGTGGTGGTTGCAGCTTTCTACCGCAATTTCCAGGTGGAGGCAGCAACTGAAGATTCTGGCTGGATGGAGGTTGACTGAGGTGGCACATGGAACAGTTTCTTGTTACATTACATTACAGGTCATTTAGCAGACGCTTTTATCCAAAGCGACTTACATTACACTTTAAACCCATGGCTTTTTCACATTTTTGCCTGGGGAGCAATTAGGGGTTAGGTGTCTTGCTCAGGGACACTTCGACATGGAACATGGGGCAGCCAGGACTCGAATCACCAACCTTGTGCTTCCCAGCACACCTTCTCTAACCCCTGCGCCACGACGACCCCCGTGTTGGAGGATTGTGACAAGATCTTTTAGTTGTATTATTTCTCTGCATCTGTGAGCGGATAAGACGCGCATCAATATCTCCTTTAAGGCAGAGTTTTGATCCGTGGACCGGCTCGCTGGAAGAGTTTGATAACAAGACATTAGTAGAGGCGATTAACCGTCAAACTGAATGGTGGAGAAGCCTTTCTGGACCGTCTGAGGCTTTGTTTTGGTTGAAATTATTTACTCTGGGAGTCACCGCACCTGAAAACATAGCAACCGTGGAACCCTTGATGTCCATTTTGTCACAAGCATTCTTCCAGCCACATCTCGCCTCTTTGATGGAACATTTCATCCTTTCAGCCTGCAAAAGGCCTGAGATCAAGTCCACATCTAACTATAAAGGATCGACAAGCTCCTTCATTACAGGAAGCGCAAACACACATATTGAGTTTCAATGTTAGGTTAATATGACTTAAGGTTTTGTTGGAGTTAAATTGTAAGCAGTTCCGGGGCACAGCTATATCGTTTTGCATTGCTATTGTCTTCTTCTAAATAATATTCTCTTTTGTATGTTACACACACACCACTGGCCTTCACCAACATCGCCTAGTCTTTACAGATATACCAGTCTTAGCCTATCAGCATCACCAGGGTCTTCAGCCACCGCCACCAGCGAGTGGAGTCCATGGGGGGTATTGCTTACAGCGGTTCAGGGCAGACTCCCCTCGATCACAGATCTCCCAGTAGCCATTTAAGACTCAAGACTATCATCCCACGTCCTCAAGTATCTTTCCTTGATTTGTTTGTCTCTTACTATTAAAATTAAACAAATGTTTGTTCTTTCTTCTTGAGACGGAACATGCATGAGCTAGAGCAATATAATCCACATCTACCAACACAACTTCCTTTCCACTCAGGTGGTTCAGAGCACAAATGCATCTGGTGGTTTTATGTCACCGTCACCACACACACTACTGACACACCACTGGGGGGCCCACCCAGCCCACCATCACCAGTCAGTGACCATGAAGGCTTCCAGCTTTACTCACTCTCAGTGATTAAAACAGTGATTACACAATGAAACATTATTGGATATTGGTTCCGTCTGTTGGAACAGTAAAGTCAGTTGGATAAGTGAAGAGCCATGTTGCGAATCTTATAATGGCCCAATTCGGCCGGCCCAGTGAGAAGGACAAGGAGGGTTTACATGTGTCAAGTTTAGGATCCCGTGCTCCATCTCTGGCTTCCAGGTAAGAAATAGAGTGTTTCTTACACCACTTAGTCAACACGGATGAGTTCATGAGGCTGAATTGAAATTTACAGAGCTCTCAGTTCCTCTGTTGTGCTGCAGGTGTCTCTCTTGTATTTGTGTGAATGTGCATGCGCCATGACAGATGATGCCATGGGGATGCACTGTTGTCAAAGGAATGGAGACAATGGTAGTGGGGCAATATAAACCGTCACTGTTACTCTGTTGTTCTAGAACATGTAATGAACCCTGATGGAAGCAAGACAATCCAGAAAGAACAGATATGATCAACTTTAATTAAATCAAAATTACATTAAATAACAGCTAGGCTCCCTGGTTGTCCTTTTATAAACCAGAAAGTTTCAGATTACTAGTCAATTTTGTTAGATCCATTGATGAGCTTTATCAGCTGTAGAGAGTCAACAGAATGAAGCGTAATGACATGAGATTACCAACTGCTGACCAGCTCTAAATAGCTGCTGCAGGTCCAGCGCTCTCTCTGCTCCAGGCCGTCTAAACAAAAAAACTCTTCCCCCCTGAATCAAAAGACGGAAGGATCTGCTGGGGAACAGACTGTGGGATGCAACACCACATCCTGAGCTTTCTGAGGGATCGAGTCCATTGTAAACTCTTGTCTCGGGTTGTGTCTGATGTTCCATAATGTCACTCTGCTACACAACTTCCTGAACTTATCCAAACAAATTCATATGCATTCACACCAATGCAAAAAAGTAGACCCAGCTGCCGTACAATCAAATATAGCGGACTGGTAAAACAAGACAGTTAAACCACACACAAGTATGTGACAAACCACAAGAACAACTAGCACCACGACCACTCAAACGTATTATCTCTCTGTAACATCAAAACAGCTTTTCCTGGTTTGGATGGTAAGTCCTCATGTAGCTTTTTTAGATAACAACAATCCAAAATAATATTTTGTACAATATCAGAGCTGAACCAAGCAGCAGAGATGACTCAGACGGGTTAAGTGAGAGTACAGCACATTTTTCAACAATATATAGTGACTTTAAATGTGCTCTACCAAAGGGAAGAGCGGGAAGTTAAAGGGACCAAGGCCTAATATCACTGTACCCTGTATCATGGATGGTCTCCGATCTTATAAGAACCATATAATAATAACTTCAACTCAAACATGCAAAAATAAGTGTTGTGTTTCTTATGCAACTGAACAGTACGTGTCCCCTGGCAGAACTAGAGTCGGGGGAAAAAATGATGATAAAGGCATTTTTTTCTACTGTTGATCGAAATGTGTGAGTGGTTTCCCATGTTGACGTCAGACAGAACATCAGTCTCTTAGGATCGGTAAATGAGCCCTCCCTCTAGATCTTCCAGAACTAAGTAGACCTTAAAAGAACTCAGGTCTTCCCCTCCACCTAATTTAGTACTGTTTTAACAAACCTGATGTGCAGAGATGACAAAGTGGAACCTGAAAAAATCAGGTTTTATCTGCTGCCCTGCTGTGAGGGGGGGTGACACCATTTGGCGAGCAGATTTCTCTGAGGGGAAAAAGATAGTAGCAATTGTCTTGCTGTTGGTTTGGCATAGGTTTAAAAATAAACTCCGGAGAATTGGTTGCTGAGAGTCGAACCACAAATCCTCACCAGCCCTGCAGTGGCTCATTGTGAAACCCAAACCAGGAGCAACGGCCTTCAATTAACCCCAGGCATTTTGATCTTAATGATGCCCCGGATCCACTTCCAGCCCGGGCCACAGTCACCTCACAGGCCCGACCTCAACTAATGGCACCTTGTAAAGACGGAGACGAGTGGGACGGGGTGGGACGGGGGGGGACTGCGGCTTTCTCAAAATAGCACCGGATCAATGGAGACATCATCCGAGGGGTGCTGCCGTTGGCTTCTGGTGAGGCCTGCTATTACCACGGGATCACTTGTGATGGGGAGCTGTAATGTGGCCCGAGGCGAGACCCCCAACAGTACCACACACTCGCTCTCATACACACAACACACAACACACAAGATGCCACAGGGACGCGGTGGCTGCTGAGTGAGGGGAGCACTTCTGCTGGCAGTTCTTATTAAAAGGACAAAATGGGTGGAAGCAGGGGGTC